AATAATAGAATAGAATAAAATAAAATAAAAAATATAAAATAAATAAAATACAAAATAATAAAATAAAAATAAAATAATAGAATAAAACATAAAATAAAATGACATTAAATTAAATTTAAAAAATAAAAAATAAAAAAATTAAATTAAAAAATAAAATAAAAATAATAAATAAAATAAAAAAATGTAAAATAAAAATAATAAATATACAAAATAATAAAATAAATACAATTAAAATATAAAATAAAAATAATAAAATAATAAAATATAAAAAAGGGCCTCCTTTTCTCCCAAACTGAAAGCTACCTAAAACTTTCTGATTAATAAAAGGAGCTAATATTAATGCTATTTAACTATTTTTGTAATATTTTTCTTATGACTATATAAGCAAATTTAATATTAAAAAGTCTTAGGTGTCTGGAATTATAATGGTCAGTGCAATAACACAAATGATAAACTTTTTGTGTGCTTTTTTATGTTTCTGTGTTAGGTACTTTAAAAGTATTATATTAGCCTTCATAGCAACCTCATAAAGTGGGAATTGTAATGAAACCATTTTATAGATGAACAAACTGAAACCCAAGCTTCCTAGCTTACAGGTAGGTAGTGCAAGAATTACGCTGGAACCCAGGTGTGCTTAACCACAAAGCCCACGGTTTTCATCATCATAGGGCTCCTCATTTAAGCTTTGTGTTCAGGGTTCATAGAACTGTAGCTAAGCATTTATTGACTGCTGAGTGAATAGGTGAAATCTCTCTGCTATATTACTATAGAAAATAAATTTAGTGTCAACACACTTGCAGAAAAATTAATACATTTGGTTTCTTGTAAAATTAACAATAATTTGATCAAGAAGGCGGTTTATATTACACTTTGTTCTTCCTAATCTGACTTACACATGGCTTGATTTCATTAGTTACAGCATTTTAATGAAATTCCCATTAGTGAACAAATTTTGAAGCTATGAGAAATTTCTAAGGTAGATGTATAATTCTGTGAAAACTTCCCTCAAGAAGAACTGAGTTTAAGAAACATCAGCTGGGAAACCAATGCTCTCTTATCTGTGGTGATTACAAGAGGGTCTTACAGGTCCCTTTAACCCCGGGCTCTGGGGCTCGCTCCGTGGCTGTGCCACGTTCAGGAAAATAGCTGATCTTCAACTTTTTAAAGAGTGCTCGCCTTTCCTTGAGAGAGTCTGAGAATCACTCAAGCCACTTTAATCAGGAGTCTTGATTTCACCCTTACACCAGCTCACATTGCTATAGAGAACAAAGAGACAGTACAGGACCGGCCTGTCTTTCNACACCAGCTCACATTGCTGTAGAGAAAAAAGAGACAGTACAGGACCGGCCTGTCTTTCAGGATGAATCTTAAATAGGGCACGCATCCTTTCTATTTCACCGTTGTTCACTCTGAGGCACTTTCCCACGGGAACAGAACAAGGTGCTAATAAGCAGTGGGCTTAGTAATACAGCAAGTGCTCATTAGATGGTCCAAGAAGTGTAATTTCAATAGATAATGTTTGTGTCTCAATTCAGCACCTTCTTTACTTAAAGCTCTACCCACTTTGCAGAGACTGTGAAATAGTGGACACTGACAGCACAGCCCTGCCCGCACAGCTCACGCTCAGCTCAGGCGGCTCCGCTGTTGGCCCCGGGGCTGGAACTGCGGTGGGGAGGCGGGAAAGGGCCGGTGCTCGGGCCTCACCGGGGGCAAGTCCTGCATTTGCAGGAGAGCAGGCTCTCCGTGGAGAGCAGGAAGAGAAACCCTAAGACGGCCGTGGGAGTTCTTTAAAGCAAGCAGCTTAGGCTTTTATTTTATTTTTTATTTTAAAAGGAATGGTCAGTCACTAAAGACTCATATTTGGTGAGCAAAGGGAAGACGTGATTGCAGGCGTGGTCGGGGAAGATGAACTTGGCCGTGGTGTGCAGGATGGAAGAAGAAAGCAGGCAGCCGGCATGTCAGCCAGCACCACAGCCTCCGGACAGAGGGGCAGGCCTTGATTCTGGACGCTGCTCTGCAGTTGCGAAGACGGCAGAGTTGCCGCAGGAAACGCGACGGGCAGCGACTCAACCGTGTTACCTGGAACCCCTGCCACACTGGACCCACCCTTAGCTCATGTGCCAGCCTGCTCGCCGGGCAGTGAACTCCTGCGGGCAGGGATCGCACTGCATTCATTTTTGAATGGCGTAGAAATCTCAAAACTGGTTTGCAATTTAAAAATGAATGAAAAATGAAACAAAAAGAGAAAGAAAAAAACAGTACCTATATCACAGGATGGTGAGGATTTCATGAAAAATGCATTGAAAGCACTAGCAGAGCGCCTGGCATTAGTACATGCAGAATAAACATCAGCTACCATCAGCAGCAGCAGCAGCAGCCTCGTTTTTATTACTTTAAAGAATAAAATTACTCCAAAGCAGAAAAGGCAGCTCTTCATAAAGTTAGAGAGTAAAGCGCTGTTCTCTGATATTATGTCAAACTCCCAGCTCACTTCTATGACTTAGGAAAGTTGGAGCATGAATTAAATGGTTGAACATATCATTTCATTCATGCTTCTGGAAGTGGGTTTAAGTACACCGATCAGGACGATGTCAGGCTCATTTTTGTGCAGCCTGTCACACAACTTGAAGCAATGGCCGAACTCCGTTAGCAGGGGCTGGGAGCTCTCCAGCCTCCCCTTTGCACAGGGCGTTGAACAGGTGTTACCGTGCTCCTTTTCAAAGACCTGCAGTGGCTCCCTGTGCATTGCGATCCTCACCAAAGCAAACAGAAAATTAAAGGCACTGACTACTGTTGCTGCAGTCATTCTAAACTCCCTCCTTCCTCCGAGCCCACAGTTAAGGTGAGGATTTAAAGCAGAGGCACATGCAACGATGCAGACTAAGCTCTTGGGTGTGTGACAGAAGGACCTGGGTTTGGATGTTA